ATATTTACAGCATACAAAGATTGTTCCACAGCAGTACTGTATTGAAAGAAGTAGGCTTTGTTTACAGGTGATCTATGTTGTGTGTCAGAGAGTAGGAAATCAGGGCATATGTGGCAGGTAAAGTGACAAAGTCACTCTTTCTCTGAGTTTGGAAGTGGGGCTAGGTGAATCTGTGACCTGGAATCAGGCTGCTCTGGACCCAGTAATGGTCTAAGTGTTATTTTCACACCTGCTTATAGCCTTCTCCGCTTAGGGCTTGGATGGCCTGGATGCTTGAACACTATTCACATAAAAAAATAGAGAAAAGAAACAAAAATGACACCACCACCAACAACAACAAAAAAACAGACTAAAGAAAGAAAGAAAGTGAAAAGAAAAAAAAAAAGCAATGGAAAGGAAAAGAAAATATTTCTGTCAGTCCAATATGGCAAACTAATGAATTTCTTTGGATTATATACAGAAGCAGTGGGTGAAGGATTATTCATAGGACCATAACTTAATCAAAGACAATGGAACATCAATAAAAGTCACACCCAAGCATCAGTGATGATTCAAGACAGCTGCTCCACTGAAGAGTCCCTACCCCTAGCAACCTCCCAGTAAGACTACATACTGTTGTGGGGTTGCGGGATGAGGAACACGGGAGAATGGTAGCTGGGCTCTAGTGACCTTGGCATGTTTCTATGCAGGAAATTTTAATGACATCATTAACATAAACATATACCTAATCATCATTGTATTTTTCTGCTTATTTTGCTGCTGTGACTACAGGCCATAAGAAACAAAAAGTGAAATCACAAAGATGAAGAGCTGCAGCAGATGTGAACATAGAAAACAAAGTTGTAGGTGGTACACTCTCTTCTTTCAAAATACATTACAAAACTGAACTCACCAAAACAGCATATAGCATTAGCATAAAGAAAGATCGATGGACGCATGAACAAAAAAAGAAGTTAAAGAATAAATCCATGCATTCACATCCTTGATTGTTTTCCCCCAAAGATTCCAAAACCACAAAATGAAGGAAAGGACAGTCTCTTCAATAAATAGTGTTAGGGAAATGAGACCCACAGCAATGAAATTTGGCCTTATCTCATACCACTTTAAAAAAATAAACAATATAAGCCTAGTCATCCTTGTTCCACATCTAGTATCCTCCTATGAGTGAGTACATACCATGTTTGTCTTTCTGAGTCTGGGTTACCTCACTCAGGATGATTTTTTCTAGATCCATGCATTTGCCTTCAAACCTCATGATGTCATTGTTTTTCTCTGCTGAGCAGTATTCCATTGTGTATATGTACCACATTTTATTTATCCATTCTTCAGTTGAAGGGCATCTAGGTGGGTGGTCCTTGACAGTTAGAGGTCCTTGGGGAGGGGGGCCTGGCCACTCCTGTGGCTCAAGGGGCTTCCAATGTTTGTCATATTTCTTTACTCTCATCTTACCTCCAGATCACCTTAAACAATTAACCTTTTTAATAATTAAAAATGATAAAAAAAAAAAACGGATTGAAGAGTTGAATGTAAGACTGGTCATAGTAAACATGCTGTTAGCCAGTTAGATATTAGCATGCTTGAAGGTCATTGACGATGGATTCTTCTCTCATAATAAGCAGCTTGTAAAACCAGGAATTGAAACTACAGGACTCTCATTAGTGATCAAAGGGTAGGATCTAAGTTCAGACTTTGGACTAAAATATAACATTTTGAACTGCTGAGAAACTAAAGAATACTACAGAGCAGAAGCTTTCTAGTTGAAAAATGAAGACATATCATGGTCTCCCCTTGTGTAAGAATTAATCCAAATGGCCTGCCAATCACCTGGGCAGGAAAACGCCCCCTAGGGAAAACTGCCTTTTGGGAATAGCTTTTTCTGAAAATACATCTTGCCTTCAGAAACAGACCTTTTGCATAACCTTGCAACCAAGTAAATAATATGCCTTCAGGGTATTTAAAACTATGTATTCAATGTATTTCCCAATTGTATATTCAGCTTGCTGAATTTTAACCCATCTTTAGGAAAACAATGCAACCAACCTAGCTATGCCTTGGATTTCCCTTGAAATAAGCTTTTATAGCCTAAGTTAAACACACAGCTTTAAATTTAACTTGTGGACTCGTCCATGGTCCAGACCCAGAATAATGTTTGTGTTGTGGTAATCATTTGTTAGAGGCAGCCAATACGTTGAAAGCAACCTTAAAGAAAACAAATATCCACCATAAATGTTGAAAGTAACATATATAGGTTTACAACATCTCTTTGTGGTTTTGAATGCTATTCTGGGTTAGCTGGGGTCAGTTAAGTAATTTCTTTCCCTGTAAAACTCTGTTATAAATTTCTGTGAAAAATAATTCATCATTCTTTTCCCACACCATGTTTGCTGTGCTGTTCAATAAGTACAGAGCAAAATCTTTGGTTAGGGACAAACAGACGCCAGTCACACATAATAGACAGACAGCAGACAGTCTTCATACTGCAAACCACAGAGGACAAGGACAGATGGAAGACATGGGGCATGAAGGTAACTCATAATTGGGCTTGCTCTTGGTCTATACTACTCCAAGAAGAATAGTTTTTATTCTTTTTTTTAAAAAAAATTCATTTATCTATTTTACATCCTGACACACATACAGACACACTTCACTTTCTGTTCTAGAGACTTGAGAAATATGTCTCCCTTATGGTGATATTTTATTTTGTACTAAAATGTTATTTGTATGTTAATAAATAAAGTTGCCCGGGGGTCAGAGCTATTAGCAAGCCATAGGAAAGCCAGGTGGTGGTGGCATACGCTTATAATCCCAGCACTTGGTAGGCAGAGCTAGGTAGATCTCTGTGTGTTCAGGGATACAGCCAGCATTGGAGACACATGCCTTTAATCTCAATACCAACCATAGAAGACCTGGAGGTCTATACAGACAGGTAGTGACGAGGCAGTCATGTGGTTGGGTTTACAACCAATGAGAAGGCAGAACCGAAAGTCTATATAAAGACTTTAACGCAGGAAGTAGCTCTCTTTTGGAGAGGTAGGACCACTGCAGGAGGAAGGGTAAGGTTTTAGCTCTTAGTTCTGACCTCTTGGCTTTCTTCTTTGCATTGGTTCTGTGTTTCTTATTTAATAAGACGGTTGGTTACATCTACACTCCCTAAAGCATTGGTCAGCACTGGGACATCTTCAGCCATTGTATCTTCTTCATCCTTAAGAGTGTTCCCCTTTACTCTGTTTTTTACACCATACTCTGGCATCTCTTCTGAATTCTTTCCACGGAGATCACAGGAACTAAAGAGCCACACAAGTCATCATGCCCCATTTTCAGTATGAGTTCTTTTTAGAACTCAGTCACAGAGGAGCAGCAGCACTAGAATCATTTCTTTAGGGTGGTGGCTGGTACCTGGTTATCTCAGAACTCTGAGCGCTGGGAAGTTGCAGGCAGTCTGCTACCTGACCTGATGGAGGCCAGGATCAGAAAAGGGGACAATCTCAGACCTCAGAATATTCATCAGTTCAAACTCTCTATCTGAAACAATAGGGTGGACAATTTTAAGAAGGGAGCTGTGCTAGAAGAGCAAGAAGACGCTCTCTGTGCAGGACCAGCTTACAGAAAAAAGAAGTTCTCAGTTGCTATCAGGGACTTTAAAGACCACACTGTCTTGGCCAAGTGAACACATCCGCATTTTTTTTTTCTTTTTCTGGTCTTTCCCATCCTGGTGTCTCTTTTTGCAGAATGGTATATTAAAAACTGCTTTTCCTTCTTTGGTCTTCTTAATTTATTGAAGATGGATGGTCTTGTTTTTCACACTGAAGAGACTCTAGTGGTCCAGAAGATGCTGCTGGAGGCAAACAATGGTGGGGAAAAAACAAAGCTGTGTGGTTTTGAGGTAGACAGTGACTTCTTAGATATGGTCCCCAAAGCATAAACAATAAAACAAAACAAAACAAAAAAAAGGTCATATAACATTACCAAAAACATTCCATAAAGGAAACAAGTGAGTGAAGAGACATTTCACAAAGTCAAAGTATCTGCAGTCCACATGTCAGTAGAAGGTTAATATGCAGCTACACACAGAACTCAAACTTAACAGGAAGAAAATAAATAATCCAGTTTTAAATGCCCCAAACTTTTTTTTTTTTTTTTTTTTTTTTTTTTTTTATTTTTTTTTTTATTTTTTTTTTTAACACTTTGTAATCAGTATATTAGGAGACAGTCATACATTTCAATTAACTGCTTAAATTCTGATATCCAGATTTAAGCATGTGAACATGTGACTTTAAAACATACAACAAAGCTATTCATAATTTGCTATATACTACCAACATTAAATTGCAGTTACGTTGAAGCCTAAGTCAAATAGCAAGCCTGTAACAGACCCAAGGAACGCCTTTCCTGGATTATACATGCAAATCACTTCTTCACATACAAGGTCTCTTCACTTTAATTTGTAAATTACTTGGGCTTTGGAAGTCACTACCCAAGGGCTTATCATGGTTGAAAAGGGAAAACATGTGACCATGTTTTCTAACTGTGTGTATGTATTTATGTATATATACTTTTAAAAGATGGCACAGCAGAAGGGACTGCAATCTAGAAGAGCAAGCCCTTAAGCAGTAGCTTACGATATACTTCTTTAGGAATGTATCATTTCTATCACTAACAACAGGCGAAATTAGGTATTATGCCACCTTCTAGTAATGGCTGAGGCAATACAATGCAAAGGCATCACAATTAGTCCACTTCATACAACTAGACAGACCAACATGTCACTACTAATTGTTTTCTTTTTCTGATTACCATTAAATACAGCATTTTAATTCCACAGCTTAACAATTAAGGGTCATATAACACATACCTAGCTTGTCAGTCTAATGTACACAGCTATTATCAGTTACATAAGATATGACCTAACAGATGCTAGGGAACTTTTTAAAGTAGTTTTTTTTACAAGTATTAAACTTCATCTTGCACATTGAAGTCATCATACATACAGGGCAAACTCAGAGCTTTTATATTTGTGTTTATTCTTCATTTAACTTTTAAAACACTACTATAGTTGAATATTAAAACAAAAACAATAGCCAAGTAGTGAGCATATTATGATTACAGTCCTTCCCACATTCACTACTGCATATAGAATGACAGAGTAACTGGCCCATTAAGAGGTCTGACACTGAACGCCACCTCTGGGGTGATGTTCATCGTCCTCATATGCTTCTCCGTTATAATGCCGCCGTCTTTCCTGGTTTGGATCAAAGTCCACCAGTTCTACCTGATCCATTTCATCAGTCTCTTCTACTTCCTTCCTTTCAGGAAGGAGTTTTTCCAGCAAAGAGAGTTTATCAGGAGAGAGAAAGCCGTTTTCAGGAAAGTTCACCTTAAACTCAATGATCAGACGTCCTTTTTCATATGGCCGACGGTATATTGGCATACCTTCATTTAGCACACATTTTATATCTCCATGCTTGACAATCTGACCTGGGTGAGAGGTGATGACTATGGTTCGGTTGTCAAGAGTGGATATTGAAATGCCCCAAACTTTTAAATATCTATTCTTTACAAAAAATTTACAAATAACCAACTGTTATGAGAAAAGAAAATCTAAACAACACTGATGGAAGAAATACAAATTAAAAATCACAATGAAATATCATACCAATTACCATGGCTATAATCATACCAACAAAAGATAACAAGTGTTGACCAGAATGAGGAGGGAAGATGACATGTATACATCATTATTAGAAATGTAAATTAATGCTCATGATAAAAAACTACAAAGTTCACTAATAAAAATAAAAATTGTGCTACCATTTGGTCTAGTTGCCACTATCAAAAAGAAATGAAACGAGCGTGTCAAGAAATAGCTACACCTTATGTTTATTGCAGTTTTACTAACAATAGTCAAGAAGTATAAACTAAATAAGTGCCCATCACCTACAAAATATTGAAGAAAATGTGGCATATAAATGCACAATAGAGTACTACCCAGCCATTAACACAAATGAGATTCTGTCATCTGTGACAACTTGGAAGGAACCAAAAGACTTTATGTTAAACTAAGTAAAACAGGTTCAGAAATACAAATGTCACATGCCCACCTATGTGTGGAACTTCAAACATTGATCTCATAGCAACTGAGAGTAGAATAGTCATAACCATAATGTAGGGGAGTGTGGTGTGTTGGTGATTTGGGAAGAAAGTTTGTTAGTCAAAAGACTCAGTGGGTTATAAGAAAAAAATAAAAAGAATAAGACATGAAACTGAGAGGTGTATGTGGGAGCCAGGAACCTGAGAAGAGTTAAAGAGGAAGCATGGGGGTGTGCTATGGGATGGTCTGTATGGCAAATGTGTTGCTGATTAGTCAATAAATAAATCACTGATTTGCTGTGGGATGTTCTGTATGTCAAATGTGTTGCTGATTGGTCAATAAATAAAACACTGATTGGCCATTGGCTAGGCAGGAAGTATAGGCGGGACAAGGAGGAGAATAGAGCTGGGAAGTGGAAGGCTGAGTCAGAGAGACACTGCCAGCCGCCACGATGACAAACAGCATGTGAAGATGCCGGTAAGCCATGAGCCATGTGGCAAGGTATAGATGAATGGAAATGGATTAATTTAAGCTGTAAGAACAGTTAGCAAGAAGCCTGCCACGGCCATACAGTTTGTAACCAATATAAGTCTTTGTGTTTACTTGGTCGGGTCTGAGTGGCCATGGGACTGGCAGGTGAGAGAGATTTGTCCTGACTGTGGACCAGGCAGGAAAACTCTAGCTACAGGGGTGGGATGGAGATGTTCTAAATACAGGAGGGCCTCAAGGTGCTTACCTCTCACTGATGAACTATTTGCTACTCAGAATCAGGGAGGAGTCATTTCACTTAGCTGTGGCGACCCTAACAGGTTCTAATGGATAATTCCAGACCGGTGGTCATATAGATGCCCTAGTTAAACAGGCCACAAAACAAAAGTAGATGTCATGAATCTGGGACAGTGACTGGTAGGAATGTGGTGCATTCGTGATAAAGATGGAAGGGAGATGAGACACAGGATAAAAAGATGATCAGAATATATTACATAAATGTATGAAATTGTCAAAAAACCACAATCAATTACGTTGTTTTTTAAATAGTCGGGATGATAGCACACTTGTAATTCCAGTATAGGAGCGGTGGCAGTATGAGCATCCCTGGGATTCACTGGTCAGCCAGTCTAGCCTAATTGGTAACCTCCAGGGTAATGACAGATTCTTTCTCAAAGGAGGAAGACAGTGCTCCTGGGTGTACACTGGGCTTGTCTTCTGGTCTCCAATGAACATGCATGTATGTGCCCATGCACCTCTACACATGTACCTACTCTGTATCTACATACCTGTATGTACTCTGCACCTTCACACACACACACACACACACACACACACACACACACACACACACACACACACCCCTGACATAAAATGAGGAGAATGTGCTTAAAAGCCATCTGTTACTATCATCTCCTGAGATGCACATGAAATAGTTCAGCATAGAAGGGCATGCTGGCTTCTTATAGTTTCCACTCTTATGATCGGATATAATCAATATGGATGACACCCCACTTTACTTTTCCTATTTGAAATGTTTGTTGTCTAGAGAGTATATAGGGAAAATACGACAACTGATAAGCTAATAATTTTATTCTAATTTCTTTATTATATGGTGACAGAATTGTGTTCTTATACTCATACTTCTAAGTAACCATTGATGTTACAGTTTATTCTAAAACTACTCACAAACATACACAGACACAGACATACATACAACACTGAGCAAATGTCATCTTTAACTTACTAGTGAAGTATCATGCCTTCCAAGTTATTCTCATTTGTATCTGAATTGATACAAAGCCTAGCATAAAATTGCTATAGGCTCTTCAAATGTAAGGTAGGTTTTTTGCTGTTGTTGTTGTTGCTTTCCATTAAGACACACCCAAACCCTCTAGCTTACATGGTCCCCACAACAATGCTATACAGTGAGTAGAGTCAAAGGCTCCATTTTTGGGTTATGTTAATTGGGCTACAGAGCCCAAATATAGTTCCTTAGAAATGATATCACAAAGCTAAGGTCTAACTTGCCTGAACCTGTAACTCCTTAAATCTTAACGAGATACTTGCAGCATCCTCACTTCATCACTGTCCTTAAAGAAATTAAAACTTTTCAGTAAATAAGAAGCTTGCAGGACCAAAAGGCCAACTGCCTGAGAGATTCAAAGCAGAAAGAGAAATTCAGTGTTTGTAGCCTATAAAGATGGCAGGAGCAAGCCCTGGAGATTGCTTCAAACAGAATCGTTGACATGGCATTCTGTTTATTGTTTCCTTGGCTTTCTCCTTCTGGGAAAACACCATTCTGTTATAGATGGCCTGGAATCTGATTCTTGATGTGTAGGGCTCTACCCTGGTGATTATAATCACTATTGGTATTAAATGAGGGAGTGGAAAATTAGTTGGATTTCTTGCTTCTCCTCCAGTTAAGTTTTATATTTGAGGAGAATCCAGCCTATCAGGCTGTCCTTGGGGGAAAATGAAATGAACAATTGCCCCAGGATAGCATTGCAAGCCCCAATTTTGTCAAGTCTCATTTCTCCATTCTAAGAAGAAAAGCACTTAAAATGAAAACCCACATCTCCTAGGCAACCCAACAAACATCTGCATAAGGAGCAGGCCACATGTCTCTCACTTGGCATTCCAGGGATGGGGGCTTTACTAACAAGAGCAGTGAAGTCCCTCAGCTCTTGAGCACTTGAGTGCAAGGCTGAGTGCCAAGGGCTGCAGCATCCTTCACCCAATGTTAGCTGTAAGTGGAACTCCTGTGAAATGTGTGTGTGTGTGTGTGTGTGTGTGTGTGTGTGTGTGTGTGTGTGTGTGTGTATTGGGGGGGGGGGAGCTCTGCTGTTCTCCAGTAGGATATTGCACACCATAGGTATAAAATTTCACTCATTCCTGGAAGCAATTCTAAATAACATGGGAATGGTAAACATTTATGGGATGATAATTAGGTGTGAGGTGTTCGGAAACCTATGTTACATAAATTATATAATTTGGTCTTCACAATGATTCTGTAAGATTGGAATGATTATCACTTATACGTTCACTCCACGCAAATGAGAAAACTGGAGTCTTTACATTATTCAATTGCACTGGAGTGATGGAGCACTGATGTTTCTCAAAGTTCCTGCCAAATGAGAAAAGGTCTTCTCAATCTAATCAAAATCATTGCTCATCTCTTCCATTCCCTGCTCACCATGTCTTACTTTTGGAAAGGGAGATGGGAGCTCCTACAGTTGAATATGAAGGAAGGGCAACATCTTTCTCGGCTCCCTTCAAAACATCTTCCCAGGTCTGTATTGACAATATGATGCATTTTAACACTGTGTTTTCTTCTATCAGCCATTAAATTCTCGTTACACCTTCTGAAAATACACGCAGGGAAGCATAGGCTGTGATCCTAGGTCTCAGGAGGCTGAGGCAAGTGAGTTTGAGGTCACTCTGGGCTTTATAACAAGAAGTGTGGAGGAAGAGAAAGGAAGGGAGGAAAGAAGGGGAAGGGAAGGGGAAAACAAGGAAGGGAAGGGAAAGAAGAAAGAAAGAGGAAGAACTAAGGGTGGCAAAGTGTGCCAACATTTGACAGTAGGCACATGTTGAATTTCAGCATAAGAATGTGACCAGATATTCCAAATATCTTCCTCTAAGGCACTAGGAGGGTGTGGTGCAGAAGAGCCAAGAAAGGGACTGGCAGTGACCTTGCAGAAGCTGACTCTTGTCTTCCAGATCCACTCTGCTCAGTTTACCGTACATTTATGAACTGCTGAGCCAAAACAGACAACATTGCTTAGGTGTGAAAAAGTAACCAGCCTCCGATCTGCCGAAATGCACAATAAATGTGTCTTGCCTTTAAAGGCCATTACTATTAACTTAGCTTCTCTTTGAAGGCTTTTCCCACAGGTGAAAGGCAATAAGGATGGACAAATGCAAATCTGTGCCTGCATACAGAAAAGGCACCCAGAGAGGAGTTGTAGTAGATCAAGAGGGACTTCGTGTGAACCTGCTGAGTAAGAACTCGAGAAGCATCCTGCTGTTTCCTTCTGAAGACACTGTTATTTCCAGTGGTGAGTAAATAGAACAAAACACCTAAAAGAGACTTATAATAAAATGGTCTTGCTTTCCTGTGGTCTGTGTAGGAGCATTCAGATATATACTAATGTGAATGGAAAGGGATGAATAAAATCAACAGCAGGATTCCTCATGGTCTCATTTCATGTGTGTTCATGTGGATTTATGTGCATGTGTGTGCACATGCATGCAGAGGTCAGAGGTCAACCTCTGAGTCATCCTCAAAGGTCATCCACCTTCATTCTTTTCATTACAATTTTTCTTTGTTCTTGAGAGTTTCATGCACATATACAATGAAATAGGATCACATCCACTCCATAATTCTTTCCTCCAACTATCCCATATCCTCTCCAATATGCTCCCCCTTCCATCACATCTTTCTTTTTGTTCCATTTTTGATAACCTACTGCCTCAGTTACTTTTCTATTGCTGTGTGTGGTGGTGGTGGCGGGGGAGACCACCATGGCCAAAGAGAATTATAAAAGAAAGCAATTAACTGGGCTTATGGTTTTAGAGAGTGAGAGTCTCAAATGGCAGAGCAAAGGCATGGTGGCAGGAACTGCTGAGAGATCACATCTTAGTCCACAAGCAGGAAACAGAAGGAGACATTGGGAACAGTAACAGTCTTTTTGAACTTCAGAGCCTGCCTCTGTGACACACTTTCTCTAACAAAGCCACATCTTATAATCCTTCCCAAAAAGTTATGTCAATGGAGACCACATATTCAAACTTACGAACCTATGGGGACCATTTTCATTCAAACCATGCTACTCTCTAAGTTCAATTAGTGAGGCCCCTTTGTGCATGGGTATAGGGCCACCATTGAAACATGGGAAATATACCAGTGGGAAAACCTGCAAAAAGGAACCATTTTCCTTTCTTCAGCAGCTATTAAGTATCAGTAGCTATTCATTAATTGGTGAGAATATGATGTGTCTCTCTAAATTATTCTATTATTAATAAAAACTTGGGAGCAGAAATAGGGATAAAAACCTGATAAATCCAAAGAGCAGCAGAAGAATGATCGGCTGATTCTACTGTCCATGTTTCCCAGATCAAAAATCCTAGAATCTCTAAATCCTTCCCTACTGCTTCCTGTGCACCTCTCCATCTGACTCCCTGGGTCCTCCAACTTCTCTATGGCTAATTCTGGTCAGCTAAGTGTTGACAAGGTTTAACTTTATTGACATTCTGGGAGTGTCAGTACAAACAAATCTCCTACAACAAGAACATGCTACCACCTCATCCATCTATGCTGGAATTTCTGCTTGCTTGATCTTTTACAGGTAATGACAATGTTGGGAGTGTATAGGTGTAGTAATCCAGCAGAGAGCACCACAGAATGCTCCTCCCCACCCCCAGCTCTTACATTATTTCTGCTTTCTCTTCTACAGTCTTCCCTGAGCCTTAGTAAGTGTGTGGAGGTTGATAAAGATGATCTACCTAGAGCTAAGCACTCCATCTCCCCTTCCCAGCACTTTGATCAATCATGCATCTCTGCATTGACTGCTGCACACTACAAAAAGAAGTTTCAATATCTAAGCTTCTCTGGCAAAGGTTAAGAGCAGCCCAGATCTGTGGATGGTTTTTGTTATTGTTGTTTTTGAGACAGGGTCTCTCTATGTGGTCCTGGCTGTCTTGCTGTCTTAGAACTTATAGACCTGGATGGCCTCTAACCCATAGAGTTCCTTCTGCTCCTGTCTCCCAAGTACTGGGGATAAAAGGCATGTGCCACCATACCTAGCCCTATGGGTATTTTAGTCATGTTTCTGTTGATGTGGTAAAACGTCTTGACCAAAAGCAAATTACTGAAGAAAGAGTTTATCATGGTTTATGATTCTGGGGGGTAGGGGTGGTCTATAATGGTGGGAGAGATACAGAAGCAGGTATTTGTAGTGGGTAGCCATTCCAGCTTTGACCTGGAAGCTCCAACCCCCACTGAGGCTTCGGTAATGGTCACGCCTACAAGGCGGGGCTGAGAGAGGACACTGAAGACCCAGGTTCCAGATGCGAGGGCTCTCTTAGTTCCTGGACCCTGGACACTGGAGGTAGACCAAGCAGAGTTCTCCAGAGAATACCGCTGGACTGCATCAGGCCTTTCCCAGACTTTGTAAACTATCCCTTCACTTGTAAGTTACCCCACAAAATAAACCTCCCTTTTAACTACGTGGAGTGGCCTTAATAATAACAACTTCAAACAGCACCACTGACTCAGAACCGAGTGTTCCATTACATGAGCTTATGGGGGGGGGGGGGGGGTTCATTTCTCATTCAAGTTACCACAATGGGCGTAGACATAAATAGTTAGAAGACATTTAACAACATGGCCATTTAAAAAAATAATGTCGGTTTCTATAGTAGTGACTGTGGCTGCTCTAGCTAGCCATGGGCTCTTGATCAGGATTAAAATACAAGGTATTGATTCTTTTCTGTGGAGCAGGCCTGAAATCCAAGAAGAAAGTAGTTAGTTACCACATTACAGTTATAACATTATTGCACCAGCGGGGGACACCTTGCTCATCAGGTTAGTGTTGCGGCATTTAAAGTCCAATGTTAATATAAGACCATTTTGCTGCCTTTTCTCTCCCATCTCTGCCAAATGGTTGGTATCTTCAGAAATATACCCTATCATGGTGGGTAACTAAGGACACCTTATTTTTGACAAGCTCTATCTTTGAGTAGGGTAGGCTTGCTGACCGATGAGCTCTAGGCATCTGTATATCACTACCTCCCCAGTGCTTGGGTTACATGCGTGGGATACCACACTCAGTTCTTTATACATGGCTTTTGTAGGCACTTTACCAATTGGGCTATCTCACCAGTCTTTGCCTTTTCTACTTATCTTTTTCTTCTTCCTTTGACAAATATATAATAAATGTGGAGATATAGCCGCTCCATGTTCAATATTGACATGATCATTAGACTAACATCATCAGCTAGACTCATAACATTTCTTTTGTTGGCTTGGATCTTAGTGTATTATTTAGTGAGTGTCCAGATGAGTCAGTTAATCTTTAGGGCTAGTAGTTCCAGACTCCCTTGCGTCTGCTAATTTGATTTCATCTAATCCCCATGCCCATCTGGTTGAGGTTCCAGCTGCATACAGCTCAATCTAGTATGTGAAGGGCAAAATGAATGCACATATATTTTAAAGCATCACCACAGAGAATCGGCATGTTCTGTGATCTGTCTGGGTTGAAGGAGCCAGTGGTAAAAATATAGTCTTGTACCACCACTGGGATTCATAGATCTGTGTGAGGAATCAGATAGACCCCGATGGCAACCAGACTGCAGGGACAAAAGGCTTTGAGGCAAAGCATCAGCTGAAGGAGGAAAGCATATTAGGTCAGCAATAGAAATGTACTTCTCTTCAACTTCGTCCTTTCATGCACTGAAGCTGTGCCTGAGTGTCCTCCATTTCAGCCACTGAGGGTGACTCTTGAGAGGAGAGATGAGTGTAAACCTTAACAACTATATTCTTGGGAGCAGTGGAAAACTCCTGTGCTGAGAGACACCTATGGCAACAATGGGCTTCACACATGCATGAAAAACTGAGATGCTGGGGAAGAGGGTGGATGTCAAGCCAGGGATAGATAAGCAAGAAATAACTGCAGAGAAGATGCCATGATTTCTGAACAAATACATGAGCAAAGATATCCTGTGCCTGTGAAGAAAGTGTGTAGAGGGTTGGGGAGTGCAAAGTGAGAGGGTCGGTGCCTTAGTTAGGGTTTCTATTGCTGTGAAGAGACACCATGACCATGGCAACTCATAAAGAAAAACATTTCACTGGGGCTGGCTTACAGTTCAGAGGTTCAGTCTACTGTCGTCATGGTGGGAAGCATGGTGTCACATAGGAAGACATGGTGCTGGAGAGGTAGCTGAGAGTTTTACATCTAAATCTGAAGGCAGTAGGAAGAGACTGTGAGACACCGGGCCCAGCTTCTGAAACCTCAAAGCCCACCCCCACAGTGACTCACATCCTCCAACAAGGCCATGCCTACTCCAACAAGGCCACACCTCCTAACAGTGCCACTCCCTATGGGCCTATTGGGGTCCTTTTTATTCAAACCACCACACTCAGCCTCACCCACCTGAAGCAGGTGTAAAAGACATCAAATGGAGTATGCCAAGGCTAATACATTGGCAAGTATAGCTTAGGAACAGCTTGGTGTCCCAATTTCCATCTCCTCTGTACACCTCTCTTGAGAGTTCCAGGAACAATCCCATGCGTCCTTGTTATTCTGCAGGGGGTCAGGCATTATCAGTACTGTGGACATAGGGTCTTACAACCACAGGAATCTGATGAACCTGATGCAGGACTCATTAGCTGTTGAGTTTGGGAGGATATTAAGAGTATAGTTATATATAAATATCCACACATAAAGGAATATATATGACATTTCACATGCAATACAAATGTCTTTACTTAATATGAGCTTCAGCTAAAACAAAGGCTAATATTTTCTCTACAACATAAACACAGAGATTTGAGAAACAATAATTCATACATATACATAAATATAAAATAGAACCACTTTCTTCTGCAAATACATCACGCACACGAGGAAAGCAAACACTTGTATTTATTAAGTAGAAAACAACAGTGGTTATTTTTCCCTCTGAAGGCCTTCATAGAGCGATTCTCACAGTGTTGAGATGGAGAATTGTGTTTCTGGCACTCCCACACCAACACTCTAGGTGACGACATGGCTTTAG